ATAGATAATACACATATTGCTTTTAAAATGTGTATTTATTCATTTTAAAACAATAAACATATTACATGCTAACATAAATAACATTTCTTACAAAAAATAACTTTCTATTTTCCAAAACAAAAGTGAAAGGAGTGGTACTGTTTTATATGTGTGCAAAACTTTTATTGTCCGGCTTAATAGAAAAGGCTCATTTTTCATCTGTTTCTGCATTCAATCTATTGTGATATGTGTTTTTAGTTAAAGCGTGTGAAAAAAATCAGTTTTACACAGGTACTCAGCTGGAAAAGAGAGGAATAGTTTTACAGCCTTTTCAGATAATCGTGATATTCTTCTTTGATACTACCAAAACTTAACAAGTAATAATTTGTTAAGTATTAGATGCAATGTGGCATCTGAAACCCTATCAGTGAACTTCTCATAGTCTGTTACATCAAAATCCATTGGCTTATCCTGCACACTGAATGAATCTATCACCCATGCATGATTTTGTAACATCACATATGCATCCTTTGAAAAACATCAGCTCATTGAATTATGCAAGTCCTCCAAATGATAACATTTCACTATACAACATCAAAAAAAACCACTTTGCTGAATGAATCTATCACCCATGCATGATTTTGTAACATCACATATGCATCCTTTGAAAAACATCAGCTCACTGAATTATGCAAGTCCTCCAAATGATAACATTTCACTATACAACATCAAAAAAAACCACTTTCGTTTTTATCACCATCTATCACATCGGAAAGGTTTATAAGTATTGACAAGTTGTTAAATTCAAAGTAGTAGATACAAGTTTCCTAAAATTCTAATTTCCATGTAAAAACTCAATTTTTATCATTGGCAACAATTATGGCCAGTTGTTTTCTATGAAGTGACAGGCTTACTTTGTTCATTTTCAAGAAAATGTCTGACAAATACTTCTGTCAGTAACCATGGTATAGCTATCAGTCATTCTATCAAATAAAAATGGTATTCTATTAAAAAGTACAAGTTTAGCTTCCAACTCAAATAACCACACACATGCTTTTCCGCAGGCAGCCATCATATGTTGATATGCAGAAGTGACTTATGCATACATACTGTTTCATCACGCAGAATATTAGAAAGATGTGTCCTCAAGGTTGAGATTTAACAAAATCAGTCTTTTTTCCTGCTTTATCAAGGACATTCTTGAGTGAAACTGGGCTTTTTAACTGCCAATAAGTGACAGTGAAGAATAAAGTGATTACTAGTACAGTTTGGGGCCCC